GACGTTGATTCCGATAAATAACAGAGAAGGCAGCTTGTGGCCTTGCGTAACTATTTGCGGCACCAGTGTGCTTATGAGCGGAGCCGTCAGGTTTGATGCAAGCTACATGAAAACGCCATTTTAATGGCCCCCCGAATGTCAATCACCACATTCCTTTAATAATGACGTCCGCCTATATAATAGATAACCTCGTCAGTCACGGTAAAAATATATTTAACAGGCAATGTCACTCTTCCTATTTCACCAAGAAATAAACCTCTCAGATTAGTGCTGTAGTAGTCATGCAGACACACGTGAAGAGATATACTTGATTCAGTTTAAGATCTCGGTTCTGTTATGCCCATAAAAGTTAAAGTTACTTTGATACATACAAGGTTTTGTTAGGCCTTTAACGGCAAGGTTGTGACAAAGGGTAGCGAAATTATTCGTAGTATTTTGATAAAAGGAGATTCCCGAATACCAGAGCGTACTGTCGTGGTATGCCCTTGACCTACCGTTTCCTCTGATTGTGAATATTTCCCGCTGCACTGCGTCGACACTCGAATTGCGAAATCGCTGAAACAACTGTTTGTTTTCCATTAAATACTGGATGGCTTTCCCTTCTGGCAGCTGTTTCTATTTTATTTTAAAAGGTTTTTCTGTGTTTGGCAAAGCGTTCCATCATCACCAGGAGGTACCTATAACTTGAAAATAACAATAAAGCAAATAAAAATTTAACAACCCCAAAAGTGTCGTAATATTACGTACATTCAAAATTACTGATTTGAATGTATTAGATTGAACATAAGAAGTATCTATAGTTATAAAACAGTCATCAACGATTACAACACAACAATCAATATCTTTACGAGTGTTCATCTAATAAAAGCACACTTTTATTGCACAGCCACGTGGACGGAGTGTAAACTTAGGCATAAATAGACTACTGATATAAATGCGCAGAATCGTAGCGTACCAAACTATAATTATTACTAAAGTTTGTGTAGAGACTAAGAACGCCTAACTCTAGTAAATTCCATTGAAGTTTACGCGGTCTTAACTTTTTTCATTTCCAATTAACTGAAGTTTTTCTCAAAGAGATGTTATTTCACCCGTCACCACCCGCCCACGGCGCCTCATCAATGTCGCAAAATGCTTTCTTACGTTCGTCACACAAATTCCTATCTGGCGTTATTCTCGCGTGCGACCCAGTTTGTTGATCTTTTTGTACATAAATTGTCCATACGGGTACTTTTTGCTTTTCTGGAACTGATCGTAGTTCTGGACATTAAGTCCTACGGGTTTGTTACTCCTGAAAAATATCAACACAGGTGTATTCTTTCCCCAAAACATCCTCTAATATTACTACTTAACTGGGTTCCGTCGATGGTTATTCGCAAAATTTGCTACACCGTACATACAGGTTTAATGAAATCAATTATGTATTTTTAATGTAATGGAAGACGGTACGAAATGCTTGTGGAATCTTTAAGTGCGTGGGTGCGTAATTCGTTGAAACACTGAAACATGTAATAAAGTATTCGTTTAACATAATGCGTAGCGTAAACAGGCCAAATACCTACCTGACGTGTCGATGAGTGTTTTCTGTTTTTATCAGGCTAAATGTATTTCTAACGAGAGTCGTCGTTTTACGCGACATGACAAGCATCTTGAGCATGTGGCCAGCCAATAAGCAGCCTCTCGTACTCTTGACATTGCATGCTGTTGTTCAAAACGTATCCTTACGGGTAAGTTATTCACAGCCAGCCTGCAAACTTCGATTGATGATTTTTAGAAAGAATAGATGCATTATATTTGTTAAAATGAAATCTTATTTGTTTACACAAGTTTCAAGCAAGCAGTCGTAAAACATTGAAAGTAGGGCAATTAAACAAATCTTGTATTTCTAAGGAGACATCGCAATTGATAGCAGACTAAGATTAAGATGCACTTGATTTACTCGGGTCTCTATTTTCGCAGAAATACTGTGCAAGATTTAATAGCGACGAATAAATGAATAGCTTTATTTGTCCCAAATCGAAATTGTGAAAATTTCAATCACGTCTGTAGCTGTTGTGGCGATGTCATCACTCTTTTCCGTTCGTTTGATGTTGCACGTCGCGTCTCCAGCATTAAGAATGTACTTAATGGCCTCCATTTGGCAGGAAAATGTGAGCAAGACGTTACATGGCAAGTTTAATGTACAGACAAAATATTTGTTTACCAACCTTGTATGAAACTTATGATAATATAATTGTATTGTTTGAGAAGTTTCTACGACTTACAGAATACATTAAAAATGTAGATAACGAGGAAAAGATCCAAAATTAATAATAAAAGGTATTTTAATGTACATAAAACATATTTTTTATGACATCGAGAGCTGCCGGGTATTATTACACGTGTTCGGGATAACGGGTAACCTTCGTAGCTAGCTGGAGTGAAGGACGACGTAGGTTACATAATGCTGCAGCGAGCGACGTCCTCGGAATGTCCGGAGCTGAGGCGGGCGGCCAAGGGCGGCAGCATCGATCCGTCCTCTCCCGCACCCGACCCGCTCCGCGTCTCTTTAAGCGCTAGCGCACCCTCTCGCTCTTCCAAAGCCTACGCTGCCTTCTATATATACACTTACCAACTAAAAGTTTGTCATAGTTCAAAATAATCGTAAACTTAATTTAAACAGCGCTCATAAAACAATCGGCGATGCTTACTGATCAACTTGCAACTAGTAACACTAATTTTATTAATTCTTATTTTAACTCGTCGAGTACCGGTTTTGTAGACACAATTATAGAACAATAGGTTGCGGTCACCGGTGACCGCTTGGTGTTTGACAGTTTAAGTTGTAATGTACATTTTGTAATTTTGAATTTTACTTTGAATTGAAGCTTCGTCGATCCGTAAGCTTATAGTAGGTAGCCTTGGTCCACAAGGTTACTCACATTTCGAGGAAGTAAGTAGGTATGATCATGGAAAATGACTTGTAGTTTCGGGATGATGAGACTAAATCTATTAATCAATAATTTTTTTTTTAAATAAGGTATGCAGCAAAGCATACTTGCTTTTAATTTTAAATTTCCCTTCGTCTGGACCAAGCGTCTCAGTATGACCTCCCTAGATGACAGCGACAAGGTCGCACACAGCCTTTGCTGTGCTGTCATTGAAATATTTTACTAATTGGACAACAAACATACTTACAGAATTACGGCTACGGGATGTAACTACGGGTACTAAGCGTGTGAAATTCATTAATCAATTCGAAACGGTAGTAAATGTTTGTTTGTTAACTGTTTGTAGTAACTCCTACGTTCACGGAGTGGAACCGTTACTCATCGTCAACACGGGACAGGGTGTATTTTTACGATCTTGTGTATTTACCGAAATCATTTTTACGCACACTTCAAAAATAACTTCGAATTAAACTATTTATAAACCTTCTACTCAATATTAATAAGTATTTTAACGCGAGTCATGGTCATCTGGCGACACCACAGCTAAACAATTTCGAGCCAATGACATTATAAAAATATTTTAGTAGATTATAATATCAGTAGATATTTAATATATTGGACCTCCTATATGGGTAAATGGTTTCACCATTTTCAGTTTTTACATTGTAACAAAAGATTTAACCTATAAAAGATTTATACAATGCATAAAATCTGTTGAAACCAAGTTTTGCATAGTTGATCTATGTTGCAATCGCTAACTAAGCCGTTCGGTCACGAAAATTGCGAGGCTGGCGGTGCCTGGTGCGCTATGTTAAATGTTACCTCACATAGGCGAGGGCCTAATAACTCTGTTCATTGTGCATGTAAGTACATTATGCACTTACAATGGACACCTGTTCGCGGACCTCCACGGAGCGTCTAACAAACATCAATTATAGGCATGACCATTAGTAGAATTAGATCAACTGATTGTATGTATGTACCTATCCATCTACAACTTCTGCGCAGTTTTCGATTATACTTTCACAAATTCCGCTCATGCTTGCTCGGCATTTTCCACTTCTATTTATTGAGTGATATTTAATTTTCATCCCAGCATATCACTTGGTAAAGCACGTTTCGATGTAGGGTAAACTGTAATAGATAAAACACATTCGTCGGACAAATCTATGATAATTTGTTAAGATGTATAATTATGAACAATTTCCTGTAACCGATTTTCATACGTATGATTTATGAATGTAAGTTATGCAAACTTTTATCTCAGGAATTATAGCGGCGGAGATGCGTCAATAACACAGTTCCATGGCGAGGCCAAGGCCGACGCCGACGCCGTCGTCGGTCCGCTCAGTGAATGGAGGCGCGTGCCACGCCGTCACTCGTTTATCGACTATTATTAGAATATAGCCATAGTGTACCTAGGAATTCTATATTGCTCATCGACACTCACGCTTGTAATCGTAACAGAATTGTTCATTTGTTCTGTGAACACAATATTGTACCTACAATGACGTGCACTTCAATACAGACAATATATTACGCGTTTCCAACTGTTTATCCCTTACGAGCATTTCAGTTCTTGGCTCATTGTCAAATTCTTGCCACATTCGTAAAATACCAAGATCGATGACTGTTAATGAAAACTTTAGTAAGTGGTGTACAAATAAATACAAACCACCCATATTTATCGCGACAAATATTTTGGGATATTGTTTTTTGCCGAGGGGGCAAATGAGAACAGGCGGTACCTACTTAGACTGTAACCGTATTCGTTGTCTGCCGCCTCGATATTTCACGCTTCAAGAAACTTGAAATTGTTTTGTTTATGTATCTGTTTACGAATGTCTTCGTGTTTTACTGACACAATGAACTAGAACTACTTACGAAGGCGACGAATATTAAATAGATACTTTAATATACTGAAGAGCTTTTACAATCCCGCTCAGGTTATTTTAGATCAGAGCATAATATATTCAAGCTTTAGTATGCGATTTTATGTATGAAGGTATTATTGAGACGAAATAATTAGTTGGAAGTTACCTGCTTTAACTTATAAACTTTTCTTTACAGAACCAAAGAAGGACAAATTGGAAAATGGTGGCGAGCTAATGAGGCCCGAGCGACCCAACTCCTTGACTGGCAAGATTCCACGACGAATATGCTACCAAGGAGATGTTGGTACGTATAAAACGTCGATTTATTTATCTTACAAAATGGATTGTGGATAAGTCGCTTTATTTGTTTTAAAATCCATACAGAAACGAAATTAAAGCAATTTTCGACCATCTCCATAATTTCAAATATCGTTCTGTTAGCTTTTCAAAGTGTTAGGGTCGACCCTTTATCGACCGAACTTGTAATTGGATGGCCAATAAACGACCGCAGGCTTGGCTTTAGCGCATTGGGAATAAAATTGTTGACACTTAAATATGAGTCTTTCGGGGATTACACGCGGGTGGCTAATTAGTAAACGAGTGCCAAATTAGTTTATAGTGTACATGAAATATAGCTGCATTTGTACCAATGTTCCAGTGGGTGGCTACGGGTCGACGGGCGACAGCAGCGGCGGTGGTATGCACGGCGGGCACGGCCACGGCGAGGCGGAGGAGCAGCTCATGCTGTCGGACCTGCCGGAGCCGCCCATCGCGCTGTCGGAGATCGGCCCCATCCCGCCGCCGCCCATGTTCAGCTCGCCCAGCCCCACGCGCCACCACCACCAGCACCAGCACGCACAACACCCCCTCGCGCAACATCCTCTCTCTGACTGTAAGTATTGATGCCTTATTTATTTATTAAAGCTCTAACGTCTTGTATATCAGCACATAATTTGAAATTTACATTATGGTCGTACCTATAATCGTGTATGACGTTTTTATTGACATTATTTTTGTTTTTTATTTCATTCTAGCCGAAGAGGAGGACGAACAGGAGGACGATGAAATAGAGCCGTTGACGCTCGGTGCGGACACGACCCGCGTCGAAGAGATCCCGCCTAAGGAGCCTATCTTCAATGCGGTGCCACTGAAATCGGCGCTGAAGAAAAGGCCGGCGCCGGCCGCGTCCCCCGCCGCCACGCCGCTGGCCACGCCACTGGCGCCGCGTCAGGACCATCACCACACCAGCTTCAAGTCAGTACCTCCACCACCACCTCCTACACCACTACATGTACACTCCCATATCAATACTTAGTCATAATATTAAACAACTCTTTGCTTTACTTGAGCCATCCATCTGCAGTCTATATATAAATTACACTCTTTGATCACGATATTGTCAAAATGATTATAGATATTCAGCTTTTATGACCACCTGCTGTACTCCCGTATCGCCAACCCTGCAAAACTTACTGCATAGACTGAAATAACGCAAAGTTTTACGTTTTATTTTTTACTTGGGATTATTCGTATCATTTTGACGTAATTGTGAACGAGGAGATAGTACAGCTGCAGTTCATTGATGTTCATGATCTCACGATGTTCATAAAATGTTGGGCGTGATAGTGAAAGTTGTTTATTTCCACCATGCGTCGGCGAGCAGGCGGCCGCCGCCTAAACCGAGGATCCGCATATGGTAACAGTTCCCTACGTTATGCAGTGTTGTTGAACCACGCCACTCCACCGACCTCCCGACGGTCCGCTTCGCCTTTAGTCCATGCATCGTGCTGTGCACGCTTCCGACTCTCATCTCTCTCTCATGTTAACTGTCGATATCTCTACTGTCCATACACTAATGCCATTATAATAGATGCATATGATAATGACATACGATTGTGATGCTTTCCACTGACAATTAGTATAAATCAAAGACAAGTGCAAAGAACTGAAATAAAATAAAATCCCGCGTTTGGATTCCTACATGTATCGTGTGTGCTGTTAATAAAGTTATGGCTGTTCTGTTGTACTCTTGCTCTATACGTCGTTGTTCTATGTTGCATGAACGTGTATTTTCATTATAGTTTGATGATCATAGACTATTTATTAAGTACGTAATTACATTCATTTTGTTATTTCTTAGTTTTCATGTTATGAAAGGACATTATGTTACTTGCCCTAGTATTAGTTGTGTTATGATTATTTTTGATTCTATTTTTGATTTTAGTAGTGATTTATGTGTCATTTCAATATTTCTCCTGTTTCTTTGGTATCGTGACGAAAGGCTTTTAGTCTAACTTTGGCAGTGCATACTGAATCTGTTTGTTTACTAAGAATAACAAAACTCTGTGATCACTCTCACGGCTCACGGGCACTAAACTCAGTACATGTTGAGTACTTGCATGGATACGGTGCTGGTTGGCAATACAACGACAATGTTATGCGTACTTTAACAACACAAATAACAATATGTAATAACATTACAATGCATTGACAAATTGTTAAAACTTTCAAATTTACAAACAGAGAAAAAGTGATTCGTTTTAAATGCCTGTCATAGATCCCTTGTTATTTTTATTTGATGCATTATCTAGCTTTCATGCAGAGGCACAATGTAGCTTAATTGCTTGTAGTTTATTTAATAGTAACGTGTGTTCTGTGGCGTAGTACCCGGGCGGTGCGCGTGGGCAACGGGTTGGAGAACAAGGAGAACGCGCGGCCCTGGGAGGAGTACGAGGCGTCCACTGAGTCCGACCGCGTCGCTGCCAAGCTCGCGCGCAAGGAGAGCCTCAACATCAAGCTCGCACTGCGGCCCGACCGACAGGAACTCATCAACAGGTATGTACCATCACGTACATGACTTATAATTTATCTTATAAAATGAGTTATAAGTAAAGAAGAGTCAAATTCGGTTTTATCTTGGTAAAGATTTGAAACAATACTGACAGCACGAGCTCCATTATAAAATTATGATGCTTTTTTATGAGTACTGAAATATGGTCTTCGATAAAGAGACTTCAGACAAATAATAATCCTCCTTTAGAAATGACGGTAATTATTTGTGACTTGAGTTAAATTCAAATAGAAAATAATCGCACACTAACGATCAGAGTGCGTAATACAAGTTAGTTTTACTTTTAACGAGATCATATTCGGCGGTCTGAATAGTTGGCACTGTTCTGTATAGGTAAGCATACACCAACATAGGCCAGAAGGATTACCCTCCCTAAGTTTATTGAATAAAATGGAATCGGCTATAACTCTCCTTGGGAAATTCTGAATATATAATATTACGTCGAACTTCGTAAGTATTTTATTGTTAGAGGAATGTTTATTTAACAATTTATGTTTATGACTCTATTTAAAGACCCTTTGTGGCTTAAATATCTTATAAACTTTTATCTTTATAAGCAATAGATAAGTCGTTTATAGTTTTAAATTTAGTCATGTCACGAATGGATTAAAGTAGTTAATTCTATTTTACTCATTACAAAGCAAACATTAAATGAGGAAGATAAACATTAGATAACCATAAAACGTTACTTTGGTACTTTGTAATCTCGTGATCCTACAATACCTACATATTTTGTGACCTGGTAGTCCGTAAATAAACTAGTACAATGTTGAAAAAATTAGGTATTAATTGCAATAAATTAGAGTGTAACAATTATATTGCATTTGTACACGTGGTTACTAGTAAAATAACCAATTCACAAAGTGTTAGGTCTGCTTGCCAAATTGCAGAAAAAATCTGCCATAACACTCGTAACAGTTCGTAAGAGTATTACGTGAAAACTACACAAATTCTTTTGTATGATATCATAGTCACAACACTGTCAATGTCACTGCCTACGTCCGCCTAGCTAATGAGGGCTGGCAGAATTACGTACTCATTTACTCACTACAATATTTGTTTACACCTCTATCAACTCTGCACAAATATAGCACATTTACATAAATAAATACCTATTATAATCATAAGGATACCTACACGTTCCTACTATATAGAATTATTAATACCGAACGTTGAAATCATATTTCTAATTTAGTTACAATTTAAGGAAAATTAGGTTTGGTATATTAAATCGCTGATGACAATCATACCTCTATATTATGTAGCAATACAGTACAGTTAGCCCGTTAGCAAACAGAAAATGTAGGTGTCAGGTGCATATAAGGATTATTGTGACACGTATGAACATTTTGTAACTTTGTGTGAAGTTGAATTGATTTTTGCTAATGAAAGTATGTAACAACTAAGATCTGTAAAAGTATTCAGTGAATTAGAAGTCACACGGTCCGATCCGAACATCAACAGTTGCACGTGTAGTGTTACGTAACGCGCGGTTCGGCCTAGTAATAGTCCACTCCACACCGTCTGGCAACAATGCACGCCTGGGAGCGTTATTTTAGTCAACACCGTCAAAGTCATTGTTATCAATGTTTTATTTCTTCCTGTTTCTAAAGAGCACGCTCTTGGCATTGGCATTGTTGTAATTTTGACTAATACCTATTGGATAACCGTTTAAAATCTGTGCTTCAGCTCATTATTAGCATCTGAACGAAACACTAGGACATTATAATAAGCGATTACTCAGCTCTAGAATTCTAGAACAACCCTAATTTATTAATGAAGCCTGCGAGCTAAATTACGGGTCTTGGGAATCAGCCAAGTGTGTATGTTAATCGGATATTATGAAAACATTTTCGGGCTCACGTAAGCTTTAGCAAATTTTATATGTCGGTCGGTTGCCAGTACACGGGAGCAAGTGCACAGAATAAATATTGTCAGTGTTCGCTTCAGCGTGGAGGAGAAAGTAACGTGTGTTGCGTAGTGGGAACATTGTGCGTTATCGGGCCCGCGATGTGTGCGCAGGAACATTCTGGTGGTGCAGAGTGAGCACGAGCGCCAGGAGTCCTGGGAGGCCATCGGCGCGCGTCTCATCCGCCGCCTGTCCATGCGGCCCACCGCGGAGGAGCTCGTCGAGAGGAATATACTCAAAAGTAAGCTATACCACTACCTACATACATCGGATTACTAATCACACGATAGTTACATAAAACTTTCACTCGGTGTCGTTTTATATTTCGACCTATTTTAGTACCCGATAATATTATAAAATAATGGACATTGAAGTTTTGTTATGTGACACTTCCTTATTGCACGTATAGTTTAGATAACAATATATTTTTAGACCGATCGTATTATAAACGGTCAAGATTTTGCGTTTTATATTGACATAGAAAATTGTAGTTCGATCAGACAAGCAGTACTAAAGAGTTGAACTGTTACAGGCCAGTCACCCGCCGAAGAGAAGAAACAGAAAGAGGAGAAAAAACGTTATCTGTTACGCAAGCTCAGCTTCCGACCCACTGTCGACGAACTTAAAGAGAAGAAGATCATCCGCTTCAGTGATTACATTGAAGTCACACAGGTCAGCCTTAACACTTAGACACTAATTTATTTATTTTAATCTTAGTAAAGGTTACCATTTCTATTTAATTACCATTTCTGAATAAAGATTTTTATTACTCAAAAACCCTGAAGAAAAACTTTTGACAGTACAGTAACAATGCACGATTTATAAATTTAATAAAGAATATACAATTGTTCTCAAAAATATAACTGACACATAACCATAACCTAAACAATCTAGGAAACAAATAACATGTATTGTAATGGCATCACAATTAATTACTGCCAAAACTTATTGGCGAGTCTTTAAAAAATTAATTTCGTCATCTTTTAATCATCTTTAGTAGTAAAATCAAACTATTGTTATTTAAAATAATCGGTTACCTACATAACAAATGCTACAGATTAATTTAATTTCTCAATGTAACTTGAGCTACGATTTTTATAATAACTATCGTGAGACATACTAAATTAAGTAAAAACGCGGGTTACTCACTCACTCGCTCACTCGAGTGAGCTGCGCGACGTCGCCGCGACCGCGCACGCTGCTCATGAGGAAGAACCCCTCTGTGGTTCGAAACTAGTAGAGCTTTTCTCAGTATATTCACGTGAGTAACCCGCGTTTTTACTTAATTGAGCTACGATGTTGATAACACTGTTGTCCAATTTAATATTCTATAGAGATTATTTGTACATGTAATTTATTCGAGAAATCGGCGCGTTCTTTACTTTACGATAATATTTTACTGTTTATGATACATTTAACACTATAGCAAGTTGTATTGTTATCTAGTAAACGCAAGTATTTTTTTTTTCTTTAAAAAAACGTAGTCTCCCTTCATTGTTTTTTTCTGAGTCGTAGGTGTATTTAAAAACAAATTTTATTTTGACAGAGGAGAAAGAATGAACCCAGATCTTTTTCTTTCTAATTTCTCTTCAGTTCTTTCACTCTGAATGTGTCATTGTTAACGAAAATTACTTATTATTGTGTGTTTGTGCAGGCGCATGATTATGACCGTCGTGCTGACAAGCCGTGGACTCGTTTAACTCCCCGGGACAAGGCCGCTATTAGGCGAGAGCTCAACGAATTTAAGAGTTCGGAGATGGCTGTACACGAGGAAAGCAAGCACCTTACCAGGTATGCAGCATATTTTGTGATAACGTGGACGTTGTGGACGGCTCAATCATAGAGTATTTTGACAGCATGCATAACTGTTTTGTGTCGCAGGTTCCACCGACCATGACGGCCGAGGCTCGTGGGCGGGGCGCGCGGCTGAGTGTGCGCAGTGTGCGTACGGTCCAGTGCGGCACGGCGCGGCACAGTGCGGCACAGTACAACCCAGTACGGCACAGTACGGCACAGTACGACACAGTACGGCGGCAGCACGGCAGACTCCTGCGACTCTCGGCCCGCCTCTTCCCGACCACCAGCCGTGGCCGCACTTGTGATTTTTAATGTTATTTATATTGACTTCTTCCGTTTTCTGGAAGATTTGTATGCAATAACTTACCAGAACGCATCGGTAAAGTGTTGAATATTCTAAAGTTGCGTTGTACCGCCGTTTTGACGTTACGTTTTGTACATGCGTACCGAGAGTGCAATTTTGTTTTTTAATTTACCTACTATGTATCGTAGTTATTGCCGAGTACAATTATTGTCATTATGGTATCGTTTATTATAATTAAGTTGACGTATTCTAAGCATAACTATACATTCTTTGAATTGACCTTCGAGAAAGGTTAGTGATACTGTTTATTGTGGTGGAGATTATGCGCTTTCAAACTATGTGAATTGTATGTAACGTTTACAAGTGAATTATTTTGATATGTGAGACGTATCCGACATATTGTATTTTTTGTAAACTTGTGATTTTTCTTATATTGCTAGCTCTTAGCTCCGTAGTCGTTAAGCTAGATTTCAACTTGAAATATTTATTTGGCATTAATTGACACTGTATTATGTTACGGTCACAAATTATTTTTTCTTTGTGTGTCGTATTACGATAAGGTAGACTTGATCACAACACAATTTCCGCCCCGAGCGGCGATAAATGCAATTTTTTTAATAAGTACAGATGTTTTTATACTTCCTGGACAAAATGTTTAATCTTTCTTAATTCAATTAACAAGTTGCGGCATTTTATAACGTTCGAGTTTGGAGATACTACCACAGAGTTTCAATCAATTGTTGTTACACTGTTTGTGAAAATGAAAACTTATGATTTGTATGATAATCAGTGCTTTAGTTTCCGTTAGATTTTGTGACATTTTGTTGAGATGTGAGAATAGGTGTTATATTGGTTAGACACATTTTGATAAAGCTCGTGTCTACTATGAACTTTTTTATATTGGAATGTTTATTTTGATGTTCTTGATGTGCTTCCAAATATGTAAAAACTATTTTGTACATTGCGACTACACTCGCACCGATACTAGATTCTTATTCGTTACGGCTAACCGTTCCACGTACCGTATTTATTTGCTCAAATGTAGCCAAATGCAAAATTATATACTACTGCCACTAATATATCACCTATTATCTCCCGAAGTTACATTTTAATATTAATTCCTGTAAACTTTGTATCATTATAATAATCAAGACATAGTTTGCCATAAAGGCGTACGCATCGTAGTAAATATAATTTACTGTATAAGTAAATAATTCCATAAATACTTATTAAATGAACAATAGCTAAATAAACGAGTACCATCTGAACAGAGGCAATTAATTTGTGATTATTCGATAAGACTTCTGGTCCAGTTATGAGATTCCTAAGTACAGGGAGAACTCAGTGATTGTAACTCACTATAGAACACTGTTGTTGTTAATATGACACTGAATATTGATATTGAGCTCAATGTAAAGTGTGTTAAATAGTTAGGCTTTATTATGTCCATCCGACACATGACGTGACGATGACGAGCAACCTCGGCGGGAACAACTTGTTATCACTTGTCGCTCTAGCCTAGCTCTAGTGTAAGTTATTCAAACGTTGAACGAACTAAATCACTAATTAATGATTCAATAAGCTATTATAAAGCTGTAGCTGTTAAATACATTATTGTACGCCTTCTGAGATTACAGATATTGTTTGATGAAGTGCCGATACCACTGCGGGTGGACTCGACAGTACAGAGAGCAATAATCTGCTATCGGCTTGTTTGGTTGACGAGTGACATTATTTGAACTAGTGTTGAAACTTTTTATATTACTGAATAGATTAATTCTTCTTAGTGTAACTAATAGATAGGAATCAGTTATAAATATTTTTTAAAAAGCGACGTATTGTTCAGTAGCGGTGCCATTTCGTGTGACGTGTTTCATGAGTAAGTCATCCCGGTCCTGAGCGCGATTATTCCGCGCGGCTCGGGCCGTGTTCGTGCTGGAGTCAATTTGGTGACACGAACTTTGCGTCAGTCTGAATGTTTTCAATACACGTGTTTTATATAGCGATTATTCTGTTAAGTCAATGCGTAATAACAGTACATTATACACGACAATCGTAGCAAGATACAAAAATGTTGATCTAATGGTTATTCTGACGACTATTCCATTATAGAATAAAGTGGAAGCCAAAATGACGACTTATTTTTCTAAAAGATTTTGTTAGATTTGCAATTAAAACTAATAAGGTAAATCGTAGATGTTTATCGATATATTACTTATATTACTTGATAAGACATACAGATTTTCCAAAGATCTAAGGCTCAACTAAATTCTTTTGACTAGCTAACATGTTATGACATCTATTGTGTATGTATGTGAAAAACTTGTCTCTGTCATCGACGCTCGGGCACTACCAGTAAACGAGTGAATTATGTAACTTGAGATATTATTTTTATAAAATCAAATGTGATATAATTATTTTAATTTCTAGTGTTTAATTTGATAACACGTTTTGCATACATATTTATTCGATTATTTATTATTAGAAAGGAATCATGTAGACCTGCTAACGCTAACTCTTCTATTGTTTCGCCAATATTAATCAAGGATTTTCACAGTGCAAACAGTACCACAAACCCTGCAATGTTTCACATAGTGAGAGTCGCATCGTAGAGCTCTTCTTGTAATAAATAATTTAGTATATCTCGCAAAGTATTTTGATAACAAGTGCAGGGGAACTTAAATATTGACTTGAACTATTTTTCCATGTTTACACTAACGGTGTACGTAATATTGTACTAGTAGGTATACATGTAATGTACCATACTATATTTCTGTGACGCTAAGTATATTTATGTATCAGCTGGTTGAAAATTGTAGCGGCCGCTCTCCAGTTTGCTTAATGTTAGTCGATAGATAAAGTATTCGTGAGTCTATGAAACAGACCGAGGTCACAATCATTTCGAATTTCCGTCGACAAATATTAGCAAACTTGAAAGCTCCGTAAAATATGAATCTAAAACCAACTACGACATAACATAATCCATGTATTGCGATAGAGTTTTTAAATCAATTATATCGATAAACATTCTTTTAAAATTATGTCTGTATATAATTTTATTATAATGTAAATTATGGAATCTCTCATTTCCAATAATATCGTTCATAAATTTTTGTGCTATTTCAATTTATAATTGCTAATCTTCAGTAACCTGTATACTGTTGCTTTTATTTTAAACATCATGTAAATTATTAATGACTTGTTGTAATGAGTATATATTGATAGCTATAAAATTACTTGTTTTATATAAAAAGTAAGTCTGTAAATATCATAATTATACATTAAGTTTTATACAACATTGTTTTTGTTTCTAACCCCAACCCTGAACTAAACATTTGAGCTTATAACAAACAGTAATAAAATGGGCAAACACAAGTAAAACTGGAATTTGTTGTGTACTGAGGCATGGCGAACTATTGTTTTGGGGAGGTTTAATGGAATATTAATGAAGGCTTTGACCCGTGAGGCTGCGGCGGTGCGGCGATGGCGTCGACTTTCGATGGCGCTAACTTATGGTCGTGCGACTGGCTGGAGAGAAAGTTAACTGTAGTGCGTGCCCGTTACCGCGAGACGCGCGCAGCCGCACTCAGTCCGCGCCGGCCAGCCTCGCGCCTCACTGCACCACCGCCGCGCGCGCCGGCCGTGCTTGCTTAGCTTTATCTTACGAGCCCGCAAAAACATAACAGAAAGTGACAGTGATCAACAAAAAGTTTATCCAGAAAGTTGTAAATACAGTGTGTGTAGTGACTGAGGCTCATGAGACCTGTGTGAGAGGTCACGGTGTGAAAGTGCAACGGCCGGAACAAAGGATCATTGCTATGACGTTCTCTGGAAATATGAAGGAGAGTAAACCGCGATCCGGGAAAGACGCATGGGAGTCCGAGGTGAGTTGAACACCATGTTTTCTAATTTCTCATGCATGTGTCGCAGCCGTAAGTTTTATTGACACGCGTGGGATCAATGGTATTGTTATGGTATCGAAAGATTTCATCTCGCTTAATTATTCGTGTGACAGTTACTTATCTGTTTTTAATCGCGACTTTCTCTTTAATTATAATAGATGTCACATTATATTGCTTAGGAGCTTATCGTGCGAAACTTAACGACATCCTTTTAACAACATGCAACAGAGTAATGACTTCAGTAGGCTCTTGAGTTATAATATTAAAAGTGATTTTATGTAAATAAGAGTGTGTCTTAGGCGTCTTTTTTAATACGTATACTCACAGATACACGTACACTTAGAAATTATATTTCCTTGTAAACCCAAGAAAATCCTATAAAAGATAATTGTTTTTAGGTTTATGGTTATAAGTAAAATAATAATTACACTTCGTCACCACCATTTCCGTAATTATGTACTGTAATTATTTTACCATTTCACTAAGATATAGGTACCATTTCACATTATCAATTATCAACGCATTATAGGTACAATTTCCTAGACTTAAACAATTCGATACACGTACCGTGCATGAACCTACATAAATAAGTTTATTCTGAAAACTTGTTCATGTGACTGCCTAATTTAATGTCGATTATAATTTGTTTGGCTTGTTTAGTTAATAACAACGATAGAAGAAAATTGCAAGTACATAAAAATATTTGATATTTTAACTGATTTATCATGAAATGGTAAACCTTGTGCTTGCTAAGAGATTCATGGGAAAAAGTTGTAGTTAAGTCAAGCATTTTTCTGTTTTTCTTGGAAAGTTTATTATCTTGGGAATCTATCAGGTAAATATTATTTTGTTAAAACAAAAATGGGTAGTTAGTCCCATTTTTAATCAATGTAATATACAAGTTCCTACGTTCCCGAATTTTATTTCCCGATGGGGTATCTAAGTACAGGTTCGCGAATTAAATTGTTTTCCTCCGTGTAAGATTCTTAGAATAAGGCCGAATTAGGCATGTTTTTAGACGATTCTTATTTCGATAGTGGAACAACCTCCAATTATTTAGCCCCAGGAATTTAACCAGAGGTCCCTTAGTATTCACACTATCTCTTTCTTTAGAGAGAACTATACTTTTTAATGGCTTAATAACATTCAGCAAACGGTTCTATTAGTTGTTGATTTTTGACACCGTATTGTATGTTAATTGTTATGAATTCCTGTTAGATGCATAATGCGTGATGACTAGAGCGTCTTTTGTTCGTTCGTTTCGTTTGTATGCATTTGGGGCAAGAACTCCCAGATGTGAATGAGTAATCATAAATCTGAAATCAACTAATTTATCTGTACCTACAGTTAATAAACCTATAATAGGATTATTCGATCGGCATGCATTCACATTTCTAGCCAGGTAATATTATTATAAGAAACATGATGAATATAGTATGGTCTGTGTTTTAAAGAAGAAAAATCTAAATATTTTTCTCATTCCTAAAATTCTGAAACAATTCCAAAAAATCTTTCACTATTAGGTAAGCTCACTTTTCACGTAAAATAGGCTTTGATATTCGTACATGGGACCTACCTACGCGAGAGAAAACTTTTATTAAAAAACGGATGAAGTCGTAAGCAGAAAAAGCTAATATAGGTAGATAGGTTTTTTTTAAGGAGGGAAAGTCATCGAATGACTTTTCCCGCCTGGGTGAGGCGGGAGGGAGTGTCAGACTCTTACTGACTAAAAACCACCCCGAAGGAGGGAAAATCATCGAATGACTTTTCCCGCCTGGGTGAGGCGGGAGGGAGTGTCAGACTCTTACTGACTAAAAACCACCCCGTTCCTTCTCCTGCACGTCAAGCCGGAGCCCCGGTAACCCGTTAGGTTCTCCGAGGCTGTACTCGGTTATATCTATAAGCTGGTTCTAAGTTTTAAGTTTCTCCATGTGTAATAGTCTATCTTTATAATAATACTAGTTAGCTTACCTGGGTATACATGAGACGAATACGAGTTAATTACGAGAAGTACCTAAACGGGTTTTCTAAAAAATCCTTTTATCATTCGGTATCTGTTTGATGTTGTGTGAAGTGTTATTTTTTCGACATTGTTCACGCAAAACTGAGCATGTCCAAGGCATAGCAGTTGTACCTTGGACATGACCACATTAACAAAAGGTTGTTGGTGGCCGAGACGCGATAATACTAAATTTATTTATTAAACAGGTTCTAAAGCGACTGTACAAGTTCTTTTAATTCCTTGTAATACACCCTTTCACAAGATGTCAGACACAACGTTTCTTGTTACGAACTTAAAAATCTCGAAAGGTCTTCCTTATATAGACTATCAAAATGAATCATCATCTACATATAAATAAACATAACTAAGTGCCTACATAACATGCCCTCTACTTAGGTGCATACATACAACGTACGTACGCGCACTTATATGCTGAGAATCTATTAGGTTACTAATGGTCTCGAAGATTAACTTTTTGGTATTGTAATTTTCATAGGAATCTATAATATGTTATTTACCTCGTCGAGTACCATCAATACAGACACAATTATAGAACAATAGGTTGCGGTCACCGGTGACCGCTTGGTGTTTGACAGTTTAAGATCATGATGTATCATAAACCGTCATAACCATTTAGGTATCCACACACATCCACATCCTTCAGATGCGAGAGACTCATCAAGAAAAACCAAGCCAAATGCAAAGCATTCACGCACTGATGATCATTATCAGCCCTACCCAAAATTCACCAGACCTAAGTTTATACTCGTGTTGCGGCGAAATACTACACAGACGTAGCTCGTAGCGCGTAGTTTGTGGTCCGTAGCAGGTAGTGCGTAGCGTGTAGCAGCATACTTCAGGCTCGTCTCGTAGACGTGCATTCTATTCTCAAAATGCATGATTTGGCTCTATCGATATTCGTCTTTTATGGGCTTGGATGGAAAAGTTTTGTACAATACTTTTTGAAGGAACTAAATGATATCCAGGGCAAGCATCTTGACTGCGATGTAGAGTTTGTAAACTTTTTCCTTTTATAAATTAGTTTTTATCTCAGAGGCCTGGAATTGCGGGAAAACGTTGCTACGCGCTACGAACTACGCGCTACGGACTACGCGCTACGAACTACGCGGTACTGACTACCCGCTACGACCCATGCGCTACATCCATGGCTGTAGTATAGTAGTTTTTTAAAACTATTTTTATTCAACATTCTACTAAATGTTACATAAATTACATACAAAATATTACCTTTAATCCTTGTATTTACTTATTTCTTGTATTAAAACACCTAAGGTATTTGCATGTCAGTATTTTTTCATATTTAGCCGACATGACTGTGAACAATAAGTGAATAAGTTGCCTTTATTAACTCTTATTAATACTTTTGAATGATATTAAAGATGAATTCGGTTTTTCTTAGCTGGCTGGACTGCGATGAAACATCAGCAATTAGCGTATACAAACACACGTGCTAAAAGTTAATTAGGTATACATATAGCCGTCTCGATATCTATCTATTCTTTTAACTAAACACATAAAGAAATACCTAAAAGCTTTATTATTTAGATAGCTAAGTGTTCAGTAGGTACCCATTATTAATATTATTATTGAATTCCAGTTTATAGATAAAACGTAAAGAATTGGGTAGTCAAGCAGAGCAGCTAGTAAAAAAGTAACACCTATATCAGGAAATTAGAAATCGAGAAACTAAAGAAATTAGGTGGATATTGCGAAAGTGAATCAGAAAAAGAATTTCTATACTTTGTTAAAGATTTTTCTACTTTTTGGCGAATGATGTGAAGTGAGTGAGGGGAAGTGTGTCGGTGTTGATATTAACGGCTCGGCGCGGCCGATGTCATCCGTGATCCGGGTCGCAGCCGGCCAGCGTTGGCTGACCGCACACGACACCGCGCTACCTCTGTACTACTAATTACTGTTCGTTACTGGATTGCATTTAGAACCTGAAGTTTTGAACTAAACTGTAACCAAATCATTTAATTTTTTTACATCGTATAGCATCGAGTGGCCTTTTTGTTTATATTCAAGTCAATTACTTATCGATAAAGTGAATTTGAGTAGTCGCAAAAATGGCTGTCGCCTTGATTGAGCATGAGACATCGGGTTTTATTTATAGGTAATTTTTTTTTTAGTAAAAGCATGAAGCTTGGTCTTGAGCTTCGTTTCTATATATTGCATAGGCCTCAATTAGTGAAAAATTTGAGTACGTACGTACGTTACGTATTTGGTACCTATAGGCTGTCAAGCAACAAAATTATCCTAATATTTTTCTAAAAAAACTTTCTCTTTTGATTCTCACACCTGACTGGCCGGTTAGTCTGTATGTAGGATACTAATAAAGACTTAAAATGCGTCGTAGAAACAGGTTAAGTATGTTAGTCATTTATGTCAATGTGTTGCCTAAAGTTCTAAACTACGTTATTACCTATACCTAGCAAAAATTGACGAGGTAAGCGAGACTGAAATATCTTACCACAAAAGTCCTGAAAACAATAAGTACAAATCTATTTTCAATGGGTTGTTGAGCTTGACAACTACAAGATTTTTAATAATTTGATTCGGCCATCGATAGGTAGGTACTTCGTTTTATTCATCATGCACCCAAATATAAATAAGTTTTACCTTACTAAATTCAAATATAATAAAAACTAGTAACAAGCAAGGTGAACACATTTTAAAAGTTCACGACCTTCTGCAGTTTGTCATGATGTTCATCTCTGCATCAAAGTAACTGCTATATCAAACACGAATAAACACGGCGTACTTATATTCTGTTATTTTACGAAATACATTATTTACATATTAGGGTACAGTGTAGTCCTAAGTACCTAAGTATAACTTACTGAGAACTAGGTGAGCTTTGAATAGGCAGATATAGATATCTATGCGCACTACTTGGCTTAAAACAGATCCATGTACAGGTTGTTCGCAGGTTGTATTTCAAAACGGTCACTCAAGAATT